AGATGGAATAGTCATAGATTTACAAAACAACTATATTTTTAAAAAWTTTTAAAGAAATTAATGATCTATAAATATTTTATACAAGTCTTTCTGAAATAGATTTAAAGTACTCATTAATTAAGTTTTGTTAAAGAAATTATTGTTGATTTCGTGAGGTAGCAMTCAAATTTGTGAACACATTTTTAGTAGGTTTACCTACCTACTTTAATTTCGGAAAAATAAATTATATTGTTCAAAATTTAGCAACGAACATAATATGAATGCAGTTTTAAGAAAATCAAAATCCAATCTGATGGAAGATATAAAMGAATTAGTAGGAAAAATTTAATTACATAACACACTAGGTAAAACTTTAATATTTATACTCTTTTGCACTGGGGCGTCATTTGGAGTAAAATCATTGGGCAGCAACAGTGGAAGCCCTGAAGCGGGATATCTATTGCGCCTTACCCCTCCTCCATTTACCACGTGAAATCTAAAAAAAACTTTTCAACATTAAACTAATTAATCAAATAATTTATTATTCATTACCATTTTTTTCTGTCGTAGAAATATAATTTTTTAAATAGTAGTAGGTAATATTATTTTWATTTTTTTTATTTAAAATTTTCCCTATCAATAAATTAAATTCAAAATTAATTAATTAAGACAACCATGTTATGTGAAACTCAAAAAAATTATTGTTCTTATCTTTAATATATTAAAAACTTAAATATATATATATAAATAATAATTAATAATATATATATTAAATTGTATTTTTAAGACGTTTATTTTAATTTAGAATGTGGACCTTATATCTTGATGAAAATATGATAAAAATATGACTYGCGTAAGTTAAAAGGTTGCCGACCCCTGCCCTATATTGCCCGTGTCAACGCCCATTCTAAGTAAACTTTGTGTTTCCCGAGATTTTCTTCCCCTGAGACGAGTTTTAAATATATTTTGAATCCAGGAAATTTTTTTTTAGGTCCATTTTCTTGGATTATTTCTTGCTGAAAGTCCAAAAATCTAAAACCTCTGTAATCTTACCCTCGTGTTTGTTATTGTTTTTAAAAGCTTTTAATTATTGTTCATTACCAGCACAAAGACCCATGAAATAGACTATAGAGAATAGAGAAGATTTTATAATTATACGATCGTCCATCATTCATAATTTATTAGTTCGTGCCTTCACTACAGAATTTTCTGATTTCTGGTTCTGCATGATGATTGGTGCTTTGGTGATATAACCACAGAATAGATAAGAAATAAATCTGGATTCTGTCTTATATATTATCGTCTTATCTATGAAAATCCCGCGCTTTTATGGCACAAAAAGAACTATAATTTTCCAATCACAGATGTTGATAAATTTCCAAGTATTCTAATATGTAATATTATTTTTAAATAATAAGTATATTTTAGGTAAAATAAGGTACTATTTTTTTTTTATAGTAATGTATAATTAATAATTATAGTAATATTTATCATTGTAATTTGTATATTGTATTTCGTATTAACGACTACTGAATATTAAACAATTCCGAACTAAGAAGTTAGACAAAAGTACAGAAGAAGATTACATTTTTAAGCCATTTCGCACGACCGTTATTTTAGTTCGTAATATCCATAGACTTATGATAATA